GAAATGAAGCGTCTTCTTCTGGACATGTCCTCTGAAGACAAGAGTAAAAAAAGTGAGTCTGTGCTTCTGTGTGTGTGTGTGTGTGTGTGTTCTGATTGTACCTGGTTGTAGGTCAGGTTGTCAGAAAGGGTTCGATGGTCAGAGAAGCAGCAGAGGACGAGTTGGACAAGTTGGAGGGAAAAACAGAAGAAGAACGCCAGAAATCGAAGACCATCCGACGAAAAACCCTGAAAAGTCAGAGCAGAAGAACTGTGGGATTCTCTGGACACGGGTGGGACACGGGTGGGACACGGGTGGGACAACACATCTCCTCTGTCTAATCTGTGTGTTCTGTGATTTTGAAGACTGTGGTTCAACGTGATCGAGGCCTGGACTGATCAATACCTGATCAATGATCTGCTCAATGTTGACCTTCAGTGGAACCATGGAGCAAAGAACCAGAAAAGTCCAGAACAGGAAGAGGAGCACGGAGGAACGGATCCCCTTCATTCTCTCCACCTGAATTATAACCACCACCAGAACCTGGGAACGTGGATGACGAGGAGGAGGAGGACGAGGAGGAGGACGAGAGGACGAGGAGGAGGAGGAAGATTTAGATTTTTAGGACGAGTGTAAAGGCACGAAACAATCAATTCAGTCATTTACGGTGGTTCAGTCCACGTATAACATAACGCTTTATTAACAGAAGTCATTTACGGTGGTTCAGTCCACGTACCAGAGTCAGGCTCCTCATCATTGGACCCACCAGGACCAGCAGATGGTTGTAGATCTCATCATTTTTCTTCACCACAAAGTAAAACATCTCCAGAAGACCGAAGGAGGCCAGAGTGAGACCAAGGAGCTGAAACAGAGACCACAGAGACTCTGGGGTCAGTCTGTAGACTAATATAGGTCTGCCTTTGGACTCACATACGGGTTTTAGGTCAGTCAGTGGACCAACAAGCAACCTCAAGGTCTGTGAAAGTCAGTCGGGTCAGTCTGTGGACTAACATCTAGAACTTTGGTCAGTCTGTGGCCTAACATCTACATCTTTGGTCAGTCTGGACTAACAGCTAGATCTTTGGTTAGTCTGTGGACTAACATCTAGCTGTTTGGTCGGTCTGTGGACTAACATCCACATCTTTGGTCGGTCTGTGGACTAACAGCTAGATTTTTGGTCAGTCTACAGACTAACATCTAGACCTTTGGTCAATCTATAGACTAACATCTAGACATTTGGTCAGTCTGTAGACTAACATCTAGACATTTGGTCAGTCTATAGACTAACATCTAGACCTTTGGACAATCTATAGACTAACATCTAGATATTTGGTCAGTCTATAGACTAACATCTACATCTTTGGTCAGTCTACAGACTAACATCTAGACCTTTGGTCAATCTATAGACTAACATCTAGATATTTGGTCAGTCTATAGACTAACATCTACATCTTTGGTCAGTCTGTAGACCCTGATCCAGGTCCAGGTGGACAGTCTTCTCACCGTCTTGCTGCAGCAGAGTTTGGACAGTGGAATGAGACCACGGTAGCGGCGCAGCTGCAGGTACAGCAGGTAAAACGGAGAACAGGTCCAGAGGTAGACGCAGGGGAACCAGACCAGGACGGTGTGCTGGAAACACTGGGTCAGGTCGGGTTTGGGGGTGTACCAGGTCAGGTTCCAATCCTGAAGACACAACCACACACAAACCATGTGACCGCAGTAACATGGGTCAAAGGTCAAGACCCCAGACCCAAAACCAGAAGTACAGACTAGAATCCAGACAAAGACCACGACAAGGTCCAGAATCCAGGATTCCTGAGACTCAGAACGAAAGAAGTCCACGAAATGAGGACTTGGTCGGAGAAGAACATGAACGATTAAAAAAAAAACACTCAAACTTTTACAGTACAACGTAACATGAATATATGTTGTATTTCTGTTATGTTTATATTTTGTTTCCTAGACTTTTTTCTGACTTGGTTTTATTTTCTTACTGTTTTATTTTTGCAGTTTGTGAATCTTAAGGTCAAATCTCTTCAATTAAAAGAAAAAAAATCCAAACTCACCCAGAGAGGATCCAGACCACTGACACTGCACAGCTCCTCCATCTCTTCCTCCTCTTCCTCTTCTTCTTCTTCTTCTTCCGATTATAATGATGGATTCTTTGTATCCTTCCTCCTTTCTGCTCCTGCTCCAAAACAACTCACGAATCCAAGAAATCTATTTCCTTCTGGATGTTTCTCTGAAGTGACCCGAGGGGGCGGGGCTACAACGCAGTACATCACATGGTTCAAATGTTAAAACTTTGAAAAGAAACGGTTTTAACTGTAACTCTACACATTCATTATACATGTGTTAGGACACGTGTGTGTGTGTGTGTTTGTGTGGACATGTACAGTGTGTAAAAAATATTTTTAACACACTTGTGACACATGTCAAAGTCCTGTGGTTTTAATTAAGGCAGACAGTTCACACCTGTAATATTCGTCCTGATGGGGGCGCCCTTAGCCGCCCTGCGGGTCACATGTCTGCTCTCACACACACTGACGTTCATACAGGAGTGTCATATGAATACCTGCTGATGACGTCACACTGCAGACCACAGTTAACGCTAATCTGAATCGTTTCAGTCTTTGTTTCAGTTTCTGAAGTCATGACAAAATCAAAGTTAGGAATCACATTAAAATCACAATATCACAAGAATAGGTTTACGTTTGGACGAAGTGTAGGAAAAAAAAACAAGGGTAAAAACTCTGGTCAGATGATTAGCAAAAAAGGTTAAATAAAAATAAAACAAAACTTTTAAAAAATATATGTTTAGAGCAATGAAAGAGTACGAGTTCTAACCTTTAAAGACAAAAAAATAAAAGAAGAAAACATTTTTTATAAAATGTGGCCAAATATTTCAACAGATTTTTTACAAATAAAGGGAATGGGTCAAAAAATATATTTTAAAAAAAGTGAAAAATCTTACAACTGTAAAAATAATGCATGTCCACAGGTTAATTATTTTTATAATAATAATAATTATTATTATTTAATTATCAGGTTGAAAAATGATGAGCAGAAATAAAGTCAGAAAATACTTTACATTTAGACACAAACTAATAACAAGTTCATCGACAAGAAGGAATGTTTACTCTGTTGGGAGAAAGTCGGTTTTAATATCAAAATAATTCACATAAAACAAACTTTTTACTTTTTAAAAAATTATTTTTCTGTATAGAAAAAAACTAACAAGAGAATCTTTAGCAAATGAATTTCCATAAATAGAGAAAACTCTCTCTGGAGCAGCAGTTAGTGTTGAACAGGTTGGTTTTTAAACCGGGTTAAAAACGGAGATTATTTACATTGTATTTATACAGTACAGAAACACTGTTCTTCTGATGGTGGTTAATCCTCAGGGATTAGTGCGGCCGCGACAGGAAGTGTCGCTGGTCTTGGTAACGGAAGCGCGGGGACCAGCGCCATCGTTGGACTGAACAACCAGAAAAACACACACACTGGTCACTAGTAGTACATTTACGATGACATCACACACACGTCCGTCACTGCTCACTGACCAGAGCTCTGTAGCCGACGCCCACTGACGACGTCGACGCCTCCTGGTGGAAGGACGGTCTCTCGCAGAGACACTGCAGGAGCAGATGTTGATGTAAGGTTTCAGTTTCATCTTTCCTTCCTCACCAGCCCCCCCCCCCCCCACACACACCCACACATCTGGTGACAGAGTCACTGGACTCCACCAGCTGCTTCCTGTAAAAACAGTTATTTTTAAAGTTATTTATTTAAGTTTTTTAGAAAAGGTTTTTATAAAAACAATTATTTTTTCAATAAACTCTAATTTGATGATTTTTTTTCTAAACATTTATTTTGTGTAAACAATAGAAACTGTTTCTTCATGTTAGTTTTGAGCATTTCCTTCAGTGAAACAAGTGCAAAAAAAAGAGTTAGCTTAGCATGTTAGCATTCAAGCTCCTTTCCAAAAACAGCACACACACACACACACTTACTGAATGTGTTGCCATGTGACCACGTCTGGACTGTGCCTAAAAAAAAGCGTTAGCATTAGCCAAAGATGCTATATTTTAATTATTTATTAATTGTCATTCGTTAGGACAAACTGTAAACTGTGATTCTGTCGTCCCGTAGGTCATGATTTGATTTAGCTGTACGTGTTAGCATTAGCATTAGCATTTGACGATTAGCGGTTACCGATTCTTTCTCCGTCGTTGCCTCGTGCTGCTGACGGATGTTTTCTCTGATTCGCTGCCACTGCTGTTGGTGCCGCGTGAATGAGCTCTGCACAAACACAGAGGAAGTGACCTTTGACCCCTCTTTAATTCCCCCTTAAAACTTCCGGTGGTTTTGTTTATTTAGGATATTCTGTAATATTTGTTGTTTAAAAGGTTTTTGAAAAATCCTAGACCATAGCCATAGGCCACACCCCTCACCTCCTTCTCTGGTGTCTGATTGGTTGATCACCATCAAGACTTCTACTGCGCCTGAAACACAAAAAGGAAAAGACTGTTTTTCCTTCCGTCCTTCCTTCCTTTCCTTCTTCCTTTCCTTTCCGTCTCTTACCTCTGTGGTCTTCCAACATCTCTCAGAGGAAACCCTGGGTTGAACAGCCCCCTGAACAGAGGAGAGTAACACAGTAGTCGACAGTAATCAGATTACTTTAACACCACAAACATGAGATAAAAATAAACCAGAATGTTCTTTTGACTGCAATATGGAATATTTTGGAAACATGTTTCCAAACATCCAGTTTTGCAGTCTGTACTTCAGTCAGTACTTCGGTCAGTACTTCAGTCTGTACTTCAGTCAGTACTTCGGTCAGTACTTCAGTCTGTACTTCAGTCAGTACTTCGGTCAGTACTTCAGTCTGTACTTCAGTCAGTACTTCGGTCAGTACTTCAGTCTGTACTTCAGTCAGTACTTCGGTCAGTACTTCAGTCTGTACTTCAGTCTGTACTTC